GGGCCGCCTCACGCGGGAGGAGGAGGCGCCGCCATCGCCCCGGGCCGCGGCCGCTCTCCTGCCACCGCCCCGCCTGTCAGAGCCGCCGCTTCCGCCTGCTGCGCGCGCAGCCCAGATCGGTCCCGCCCACGGATGACGACGCGTCCACCCCCGCTACCTCAACAGCCTATTGGGTGACGTCACTGTCACTCATTCCCGACGCCCTATCGCGGAGCTCCCCGCCACCTCGCTCACTCCGCCCCCATACGGGCGGGCGATTTCCACCCCCCTCCCTCCTCCCGCGCAGCAGGTGCCGCCTGCTTTCCGCGTAGCCTCGCCCCTTCCCCGCTCGGGATTGGTGGAGCCGCTCCTCTGCCCCGCCCCACCCTCATCATCCCTCCATCTGATTGGACGAGGCTGTGGGGGTGTGGGCCGAGGAGCGTTGTTATTGGGTGGCTGTCAGAAACGGTCGCTTCTCGGAATAAACCGTTTCCGTGGACTGTTCCACTAATCCAGTGTGGGGGCGCGGGGGATTGAAGGGGCCGGTGCTATCATCCCTAGTGGGAAGGGCTGTACCATCAACCTGCTGCGGGGGCGGCGGGGGGACGGGTTGTACCACTGATCTAGGACAGCTGCCCCAGGGGATAGCCATGGAGCAGTGCATGCTGTGAAGTCACAGTTCCCCTTAGAGTACAGATGGCTATGGAGCAGTGCATGCTGGGAAGCCATGCTCCCCCATAGAGTATAGGGCCTGGCAGTGGAGCAATGCATGCTGGGAAGCCAGGGTCCCCCATAACTGACAGGGGCTGGCAATGGAGCAGTGCATGCTGGGGAGTCATGGTCCCCCATAGAGTGCAGGGGAAGGCCATGGAGCAGTATGCTGGGAAACCATCTCCATAAATGACAGGGCCTGACAGTGGAGCAGTGCATGCTGGGAAGCCATGGTCCCCCATAGAGTGCAGGGGAAGGCCATGGAGCAGTGCATGCTGGGAAACCATCTCCATAAATGACAGGGCCTGACAGTGGAGCAGTGCATGCTGGGAAGCCATGGTCCCCCATAGAGTGCAGGGGAAGGCCATGGAGCAGTGCATGCTGGGAAACCATCTCCATAAATGACAGGGCCTGACAGTGGAGCAGTGCATGCTGGGAAGCCATGGATCCCCATAAACGACAGGGACTGGCAGTGGAGCAGTGCATGCTGGGGAGTCATGGTCCCCCATAGAGTGCAGGGGAAGGCCATGGAGCAGTGCATGCTGGGAAACCATCTCTATAAATGACAGGGGCTGGCAGTGGAGCAGTGCATGCTGGGAAGCCATGGATTCCCCATAAACAGGGACTGGCAGTGGAGCAGTGCATGCTGGGAGCTCCCCTGCCCAGGCCGGCCGCACGCAGAGGGCAGACAGAGCAGGACGCGCTCGGCCCCCAGTCACGGTCGTGGGGCTGGGGGCCGCGGCAGTGTTTCTCTCCGAGCGCCGCTTCGCTCGTGGCGAGAAGAGAAAGGAAGCCACGTTGCTAGGGCTCCTCCGGCTCCGGTGCCAGAAGGGGTTATTTATAACCTCCTCCAGGTGGCTACCTCCTCCTCCTGATCGCCTCATCCCGCCTGGCTTGGGCTCCAGCATCCTCCTCTCCGCTGCACCAAGCTGCTCACAACCCGGGCCCTTGTCACTGCAAAGTCCCTTTCGCCATGAGACGGCTCCAAGCCAAGAGGGGCTCGGACTGAGAGCTGGGGGGGGCTGTACTGCCTGAACCCCCTTGGCTGGGTTCAGCCCCGTTGTACCAGTGTCATAGTCTGAGCCCTTCTTCCAAGCTCTCCAACTCTCTTTCTCTATTATTAAAATAATATTCTACTATTAGGATCTACGGTGCAAATCTATCCTGCCTTCTCCAGATTGCCATCAAGGCCCCCCTCACTTTGTTTTGTTTCCCTTAGATCGGGGCGGCCAAAATACGGCCCGCGGGCTGGATTTGGCCCGCCAACTGATTGCATCCAGCCCGCAGGTCGGTGGCTGCAAGCACAAGATCCGGGCGGCAGGGAGCCAGCGGTTCCAGCTGCTGCATCGCGCCAGGCGGGCACATCCTAGCTCCCGCCCCATGTGCTGGAAGCAGCGCTGGGTGCTCGCTGGCATCTAATGAGATGCTGAGTGCAGAGGTCTGCCTCTGTTTGGCACTCCAGGCTTTTGCTGCGCTGCAAAATACTGCTGATGTAGCTACAGTCAGTTGGGAGGGTGCAAAATTCACAGCCCTCCGCTGACTTAATAGCCAGGTGTTGACCCCCTGACGTACATATATGTGATTATGCCAGAGGAAGAGTGCTGCCATCAAGCTCCACCTATGTTATGTCATGCCAAGCGGCATGGAGGGGGTTTTGCCAGCAAAAAACCTCCTTCCCTGGGCATATTATCTTTCCACCAGGACACGCTGCTGGCAGAGCTGCGCCAGCCTAACTACCCTGGCAGAGGCTCTGTAATGTAGACATGCCTTGAACAGCGTACGCTTGAGCTAATGCTCCATTAGCTGGCAGGCTGGAGCTGGCTCTCCTCCTCCGAGCACCAGCTGAAGTGGGGTCAAAGACGCGTGCTGTCCCGGAGAGGCTGCTGCGAGCAGCGTGCAGGCTGGCATGGCTGCATCAGCGATCACAATGGACAAGAGAGAGCACTTCCTTTCTGCCAGCAGCACAAACCAACCTGCCCCGTGACCCTGAGCAGACAGCTAGTGTGACCCCCGTGCCAGACAGAGAAGCACTTGTCACCAGGGCCAAGAGCAAGTTGGAGCTGGTGGAGAGTAAAGTGAGATTCATGGGTGGGGACAGTGGTTAAAGCTGAGCGCCGTGCCCTCTCTTCCTCCGATCGGTATCAACCACCGGTTTCCTCAGCTGTACACCTTCATGGGATGTCCCGATAATGAACCACTCATGCGTGAGCCAGCATTTTGCCCGCCTCACCCTCTCTCCCCCATGGGTACAGCTTCCATCCAAGCTGGAGGCACTTTAAAATGGGCCGGCAAAAGGCATGAGCCCAAGAAGTGAGGTCATTATCAATCATTTAAGATGCTGAATGATTAATAACATTTGAAGATGAACATGGAAGGCTCCTATCCTCAGATGCTTTCTTCCCTTCCCCTGGTAGAAGATCTGGAGAAGGCAGGGTAGATTTGCACCTTATAGCAGGTCGATGGGCATCAAAAGGCAACCGTGTCCACGCAGCTCAATTCTGCCTAGCAAATGGAGACGTGCAGTTACTGCTCCCCAGAGAAGTCAGCTCCAGCGCTACAGTCAACTTCTGAGCCTTGTGCTGCTTGCTGCCTTGCTGATTGCATCTGACTGCTTTGCTCTGATAATGAATGAATGTATGCCCAGGCCACGGTGAGAGCCACCATGTCCAGTCGCGACAGCTTTCTGGGCTAGAAGTCAAACCCCAAGAGCCAAGGGCTCGGCTGGGGTCAGTCGGATTTGGGGGAAGGTCGCACGTTCTCCCCACAACGCGCACGGTCTCGAAAAGGAAATGCAACAGTTCAGAGTGGCTTTTAGATGTGGTTTTGGAGCTCGGTGCTCTGCGTTGCGATGAGCCACAAAGCAAAAGGTCTGAAAGGTTCTCGCTCTTCCTGCAAAAAGTCCCCACCCCCGGGGCAGACTTTAAAGGGACATGTGTCAGGTCAACAGAGACTCCAAATGCAGGGGGTTGTGTAAAGGGAATCACAACGAGGACCCTGGAGAGAGATCCACGTCCACCCCAATGCTAGCTGCTAGGACCAAGAGAGGTTTGGCGGGGGCGTTATGATCTCCAAGCCAGGAGCTGTAAGGATGCCTTGAGGAACATGGGGTTAAACAAGCCCCCGAGCCTGCAGGACATCCAGAGCAGGGGCCGCGGCTGCACAAAGGGGTCATAACCAGGGGCCTGTTCAGTGCGAGGCCACCGCTGTGTGCAGCAAAGTCGTTTTGTCACTAGGGTCACCAGTGATGGCTCCTTGAACCAGGAGACAGCGGGGTCACTTTCCAGGATATCCCTGCCCTTCCAGGAGGAAAGTTGCCGCTCAGATTCCCGATCCGGTCCTTGCAGAGATCCGAGCTCTCCGTTGGCACAGGCTGGGGTGGGAGAGGTGTGTGTTTGCGGGAAGTGACTCGGTATCATGATCACCGTCAGCATCACCATCTGTGCTACTAGAAGTCCCAGCTGAGATCAGGGCCCCGTCTCTCCCGTGCGTGCATTCAGCAAGAGGAAGACTGCAATCCAAGCAGGGCAATCCAGAGGGAAAGCAGAGGCTGGCTCATAGGAAAACAGAAGTTGTGTTGCTTCGGGCTTGGAATGATTGAGCTTAAGGGACGATTCATTAGCTCGCTGCCATTGGCGGGGGTCTGAGACACACAGCCCACCGGCCAGCACCGCCTGGGGAAAAGAGATAGACTTCCCCACCTGCCAAGGGTCCCCTTCCCTATGCTACGAGCCCCCGCCCCCTTGCTAATAATCCAAGGTCCAGCAGCTGGTACCTTGGCTCCCAGCTGGGATGGTGCCAGGCGCCGGGGGCACGGAGAACAGCTCTGCAGGGGCCAGCGCTCGATAGCAAGCCCCGATTTCCCATAGAAGAGCAACGCCGGTCCGAGCTGCAGCTGACTCTCCACGTGCAAACCCGGGGAGGTTGGCTTGGGTTTCTTTCTGCCTGTGGCTTGGCAGAGCTCTATTTGTGGGGAAGGGGCAGCGGGGTCCCGGCAGCCTCTGAGCCAGGCTCCCCACCAGCTCCCTGCCTGCAATGACTAAACGTGTTGGATTAAAATTAGCAACTGGCAATTAAGCTTCCACCGGGGACCGGCTCCAAGCAGTGAGTCAGGCAGGATGACGGTGGCACTGTACCTGCTCCTCGCCCTCCTGCCCCCTGGCCCGGGGGTGGCTGGCGCTTGCTCCAGCTGCGGGCGACACGTCCTGAACGGGGAGCCCCTTTGGTGGGGGTGCGGGGCTGAGATGGGCCCTGCTGGGGGGCCCGAGGGATGCGGGGCTGTGTTGCTATGGTTATGTGATGCTGTTCTGTGGTCCGGGCAGAGAGAAATATAAAAATAATTATTAGCTCTATAAAAATCCCAAGCTTCCCCCAAGCCTCTCAACACGTGTGCTGCTGCCACAGCTGCCCGGGACATCATCCCGCCACACCTGGAGGCCCCTCGGGGGGGTCCCAGTGCAGTGCAGGGACATCATCCTGCCTGCATTGGGACCCTCGGGGAGTCCCAGTGCAAGGATCTACCCATGACTGTAGCCCATAGGCACCATGACTGTGTTCAGCCTCATACCACCTCTTGGTTGCCCACTCCTGCCATGGATATGGGGCCTGGAGAGGCTAAGTGACAAGCCCAGGGCCACAGAGGGAGTCTGTGGCATAGCAGGCATTTGAATCGAGGGCTCTAACCACTGCTCTGCAGTGCTTCCTGAGCCTCCACCGCAGACTGCACTCCGCTACCAGGGCAGGGCTGGTCGCATGGGGCTGAGCTGTTCCAGCCCCCCTGGACATGGCTACGTACCCCGTGCAGAGATGGCTACGCACACCCTGCAGTGTTCCCCTTCCCCAGACAGGTAGGCGGAAAAAGTGAGGCACCGAAAAACAAACTAGGGTGGTTGCTGTGCTGGGAATAGAGTGGGTATCTCCCGAGTGCCAGCCCTGAGCTTTTGCCCCTAGATCAGGCCCATTCCCTGCGAGAAGGAGAGAGAAGGGACCTGTCGGGGGGGGCAGCATTCACTAACCAGGGGCAGGGAAAGCAGGGACCTGGGCAGCCTGGAGGAGATATATTCATCTGCTCCAGCCCTGCCAGCTTCTGGCACTTCCCTTGGGGAGCCCGGTCCCTGACGGGACGGTTCGAAGTGGAGTTAGAGCCAAGGAGGGGGTGGGAAAGCCAGGGAAGCTGGAGGCTGGCTCGGCCCCCTCTTCCTATTCCCCGGGGGTCCTTATTGTTGCTGCAGGTGGCATCACAAAGTGCCGCTGCGCTCCTAGGAGCAATGCACCCTTATTGCTGCTGGGTGCCAGGCCTGCCCCGGCTGTCGTGCTCACCCTGGTCCTATGAAGGACAAAGACTGCTCTCTCTGCACCTTAATCACCTGGGCGGCCGCCGGGCCAGGAAACATCCAGCAGATGGGCAGAAACGTAACACCGCCACGGCCTCTAAACGCCAGACAGCTCTGCCTCGTCCTGCACCGACGCCTGCATGGAAACCGACTCTGGTCCAGCCCCCCGCGGAGGCACCACGCTCCGGTGAGCAGGGCACCGCAGCTGTCTGCCATCGTCCTGCTCGCCCGGCATCAGTGGTGCTTGCGGGGCGGGGCGGGGGGGCTGGCAGGCTGCGTGTGGGGGAGTGTGGGGGGGAGCTGTAGATAAGCTTTCAGTGGCACAGAAAGCCCCCCCCCCCCCTGTATCTGTTTACAGGGAACCTGCTTCGTGTCAAAGGATCAGCGCCCGAGTGTCAGCCGCGCAAAGAGACTTAGGTTTCACTGCAGCAAGCACCCAGGGGGCTCCTCTTTGCTGTCATACCAGACATCCTTGTCCCACCAGTGCCGTTAACACGGGTGCCACACATCGGAGGGCGCAGGGGTGCGGGGCCGGGAGCACGTCCCGAGCAAGGCTCTCAAAGCATCGTCTCCACCTGGGCTTCCACGCTGCAGCCAGGATGCAAGAGGCAGAGCACAGGAAGGCACCCATGATCGCTGCTCGGGAGACCGGTATGCTCATCTTGGGGTTCCAGCTTCCTCATCCCGGGGTCCCAGCTTCCTCTGGGGCAGGGGGAGATAGAAAGGGATTGGAAGCAGGGACCAGCTCCGTGTGATGCAGGGGTACCGGGCCTAGCACAGCATGGCCCTGATCCTACCGAGGACAAATTCCTGGGGAAAAAATTAATCATTTCTGGGCTGACATTGCTTGCATTTTTGTACAGCTCAGGGCACAATACAATGATAACCCGGGTCTGGCTCTTAGCCGCTCCTTTCTAGGATCAGACTGGGACCAAAGAGGAGTTTTGCCTCTTTGGATGCTGAAAACCTGATTTCCGTGACCCCCCTGCGTTCTAGCCCTGCCTCCAGGCTGCTGCCCTTTGGGCTGGGTGCCTCAGTTTCCCCATTTGCACCAGGGGAACGGTGAAAAGGACCTACCTTGCATCAGAGACAGAAGGGATGTGGTACGGCCGCAATGTGTGGGTAGGAAAGCTGCCGGGGTCCTGGAAGTGCTTGGTCACACCGGGCATCAGGGTGGCAGGTGGGTCCCAGCGCTGTAATGTTTCGAGGTATGACGGTGCTTGGACCTTCCTTCGCAGCGGCGCTCCTGGCGAGAAGCAGCACCTGCCGGCGCTGGGATGAGCAGGCTCTGAAAGCCTCTTCTTTCCCACTGCTGGATTCTCCCTGGAGGATCTTCGCCCTGACTCCCTTCATGCCAGCTCTCCTGGTCTGAGGCCGGGGCTCCAGGCTGGCAGAGATCTGCAGGAATAGGGTGGGGGAGAAATAAATACACCCGGACGATAAGGCCTCGCTGCCACCTGTGAATCAGAGCCTCTATGAGTGCTCTGCATTGTCTGGTCTTCTTTGGAGGGAAGAGAACTGCTTAAAAAATGGGGAAACTGAGGCACGGAGGGTGAAGGGCCTTGCCCAACGTCAGTGGCAGAGGTGAGCACTGAACTCAGCTCTTCCTCTAAGCACCCGCCCAGACGTCTGAGGGCCAGGAGTGCAACCCAGGCACCCTGGATCTGCATCCAGACTTCGGGCCACTCGGCACCGCTCCCCCCCAGAGCCAGGAGCCGAAGCCAGGAGTCCTGCCTGTTCCTCTTGTGTGCTCCAACCACTGGGCAATGCTGCTGTTATAGATGCGAGCTCTATTCCCTGATGTGTCACGTGGGTGTTTTGCTGCTTGGTGCCAGGCCCTGGCCCGGGACGGTACAGCCTACCTCCTACCATTGGGTTTGTCAACCACGACTACACCCGGTTAACCAGCCCAGCGTACTCCCTCCATGGGCGGCTTGACAACAGCGGTAAGTCTCTTCTGGCTGCTGCTCTCTGGCGGGGTCTACGGCAGACAGGAACAGCCCTCTGCTTTGCTCAGGGCCCCACCAGAGCAGACCCTCTGCTTTCCCCATCCTCTCGGTGCTCGCTCTCCAAGGCCAGGCTGTCATCCCATCTCCGACGCCAGCTGTCCGGCTGGTCGGAGCCCCATGTCCACCCTCCACCACTGTCCTGACCCCGTTAAAACATGCAGCTAATCATGGGCAGACCTAAAAGGGGGGTGCAGCCGGCGAGCTGCATCATCGCATAGATCACGGCATGCATTTTTCTCCAGCTAAAGCCAAGCCAAGCCAAGCTTTACGAATAGGTTAGGGGCCTGGGCTGTGTTATTCAGTTTAAGACTGAAGCCAAAACTAAGAAGTGCTGGAATGAGTTTAAAAAACAACCTGCCTGGCTGTGAGATGGGAACTTCCTTACCCGGAGCAGGTAACAGGCAGCAGAACGGCAGAACAAAGGCTAGCTTGCTTGGTGGAACATCAAACCCATTAAAAAGAAGAGAGGGTCATTTGGTAACACCTGTGGAGTGAAGAGTTTAGAAGGAATCAGGTAGACTACAATGGGGCTCCCTCGGCCCTGCCTGCCTGGAAATGCTGCTGCCATGGCCAGGCTGGTGGTTTTAAACTTTGGGTAAAGCAGCAATGAAAGGGGTGCAAGTGAACCCGTGCACCCCAGCATCCATCCCTGAAGCTAATAAAATCCTGCAAACTGGTGTGCTCGTTGGGGGCCGCCCGCTCTGTCACCAAGGGAGTCCTGCCCACTCTTTGGGGAGGAGGTACTCGGCAGGCGGTGATCTCAGTGTGGTTTCAGATGGCCAGGGGGTATTGCGGTCCCCTTTTACAGAGTGGGGAATGAACTCATCTAAGACCCTGTAGGAAGTGAGCACCCCAGGGGCCAGGTCTGCCCAGCCACCAGTGCCTGGAAGCTCACCGCAGCCCCGTCCACCTCTCAGATGAAGCCAGGGTCGAGATCTGATCCTGCTCGCCCCGGCTTTTACACTGGTGCAATTCCACAGTCCTGATTTAACCCTGCCTAAGAGGGGTTCGTGCCAGCGTTTGGCTGGAGAGACTCCATGCACCCCAGTCGGATCAGCACGGGACCCTGAGCCGATGCACGGGCGAACTGGGGTGATCCCCACGGAGGGCCAAATTCTCCCCAGGTGCAATGCAACGGTGGTGATGCCAGGCAGGGAGATGTGCTAACCCGGCCCTGATGCTTTCTCCCTTTGTCGGCAGTGTACCTGAAAGACGCCGGCCCGGGGCCCTGCTATTACGTGGAGCCGCAGCTCACCCGCTTCGGCAGGGCCAGGGGCCCGGCTTACTCCATGCGGGCGCGGGCCAAGCCCCGAGGTGAGCAGTGCACGGGAGGCTCTGCATCTGGGGCAGGGGGTGTTGGGGGGGAGCACTGAGCTGCCTGCAAAGGGGCTGGATCAGCCTGAGATGCTTTGCGCCAAGGGGAAGGTCTTCCCCACACCGCTGTGCCACAGTCCTAAGGAGAGGACAGCTCGTCCTCCCTGGTTCTTAGATCTGGGCCAGGGCATGCAGCCGCTGCCTGCAGAATGGAGATCCCCCATGCTCTTAGCTCCATTGCAGCGGCATTGGAGCCGGGCCTGGCAGCCTCTCCCTGCTTTCACTAGCTCGGGCTGCGGTGTCTCCCACAGGGCACCCGCAGACCCCCGGGCCGGGCGCGTACAGCCCAGAGAAAGCCCCGCTAATCACCCGACACCAGGCACCGTCCTTCACCATGGGCACACGCACCGCATGCCGTGTGACGGACCCCGTCCCCGCGCCCAACCGCTACGCCCTGCCCTCCCTGCTGGGCGCGCGGGTCCCCGCCAAGCCCTCCAGCCCCAGCTTCACCATCTCTGGGCGGCACCAAAAAGGCAGCTACTCCGAAGACCTGGCGCAGACTCCCGGGCCAGGCCGATACAACAGCACGGATCCCAGCACCTACCTGCGCCGGCCGCCCGCCTTCTCCATGCTGGGCCGACGCATTGCCCCCAAGCCGGCTTTCCAGACGCCGGGTCCGGGCACGCACAGCCCCGAGAAGGTGACTGCTCACAGGACCCGGGCCCCAGCCTATTCCCTGGGCGTCCGGCACTCTGATTTCCTCACCCCTCTCATCGTGGATGTTTCCCAGTGATGCAGCAGTGGAGCAGGCTTTGATGCACCTTCCTGGAGGGACCCTCCTTGGGTCCGAGTGCCCGGAGCCCACTGGGTGCTGTTCCCCTGCCCGGTGCCCATTGCTGCACCCATATGGCTCTTCCAAGCTGCCCATCCCCACGTCACTCCGGGTAGCCTGAGATATCTCCCAGCAGCGGAGACTCCCCACCTGGGGGGCACAAGGGAGCCCCCCTGCTCACGGCTGCTTGCCCCTGTGGCTCGTTAAGCCGCCTCCACCATCTTGAGGTCTAATTTCCCCTTCGGCGCCCAATGTTGCTTTATTAAACAAGCCGGCAGTGAATTTCGGAGCTGGCGTTTGACATTTCCTGGGGAGGCGGGCGAGGGGGTGTGGGAGAAGGAAGGATGTGCCGCCCTGCAGCCCCCTTGCCCGGCGCTCCTCCAGGCCCGGCGAGCGCCGCTGGCTTCTGCTGCTGCTTCCTGTCTCTGCCGCCCAAAACGCGGGTCATTTTCACTTCCTGATGACTCAGTTTCCCTTGGGTGCAGTGGGGTTTGCGCGGGGCAGGGGGTATTTCTAGTCGCGCCCCCCTCCCCGCAGCCCCCAACCTGCTCAGCTCTTTGTGCCACTGCAGGTTTTCAACCTGCCCCCCCCATCCAGTCCTGTCCTTTCTACCACAATCTACCGAAGCCAGGCCCTGAGCCCTTCCTCGGCACTGAACAAGGCACAAGCCAAGCACTCAAAGGGCGGCGAAGGATGCTGGGTTCAGACCTTGTCATCTCAGCAGGGAGTGACAAAACGCTGACTTTCTGCCTGCCCTCCCGGCATCACGGCTCCCTGCCTCTGCCCCGCGGCTCTCTTGACTTTTGTGAAACCACCCACACCACCTCGCAAGCCCCCATGCAGACCCGGGGGTGTCAGCAGCCCCGGCCTGGGCGCTTCAGCGCCAGCTCCTTTCCTGTTCCTGACTTTTGAAGTCCTCAGCACCGAGCCCCCGCTGACGCAGGCGGCTGCAGGGCAAACTGGGCTGATGATGAGGGAAAGGTGATGGGATGGGACGTGAACGGGGAGCTGCGAAGCGTCCAGCCCCGGACACCAGATCTGCCTGGCTGCAAGGGCTGAGATGGAGGAAGGCTGGCGTCAGAGCCACTCGGGAGGTCTCCTAGACAAAGTCCCGCAGGAGGAAGGGTCTTTTTTTTTACCCTCCAGGTTGCAGGGATCAGACTGCCCCAAAATCTGGAATTGTGGAGCAGGGACCTCACTGCCTATTGAGCCGACAGCTACTCCGTGTCACCTCTCCTGAGTCCAACAGGGCTCTCCTCCCATTACAACCCATAGGAGTCCTGCCTATTTAGGGAACTAAGTGCCCCCCAACACACCACCCCGGATACCCCGAGGTGGCCGAGAGGGTCACGCGCGTGCAGTGCATAGGCGGGAGCGGCTGTGCCGGGGCAGAACATCTGATCAAAAGTTCCTGCTCACTCTTGATACCCGAGTTACTAAAGCCAGACCCGGGAAGGGGCAGGTTTGGGCGCAGGGTGGGAAAGCCACCCCCCAGGGGTGGAAAGACAGAGGTAGGCACCTCTCCAGCATCGGTCTCGGGGGTGGCTATGCTCCCTCCCCATTTTTCCCCGGGCGGGTGACAGGAGTCCTGCGCGGAGCCGCGGACTTTCCTACCGCTCACGGCAAATTAATCATTTGCTGATTCCTTTTTAATCAGTTACATTTGATTTTCCAAGAACCTCTTGGAAGGCGGGGGCTGCTCTTTATCTCTGGCTGACCCAAAATAAATAGATAACCACCTACCCAGTCTGGGGCAGGGTTATTTTCCCTTCGGCTGATAGACACCAACCTCCCACCCCCTCGCCGGCTCGCGGAGGGGAGCAGCGAGCAGGCAGGGCAGCGCGCTCGGAGCTGCGCGCCCAGAGGAAGTGGTGAGAGCAGCAGACGTGTTGCGCAGCTGAACGGGGCTGCAGGCTAGCGAGGGGTTGACGGGAGCCGCGGGCACCTGCTCCAGCCCGCCCCGGCCCC